GGCCTATACCTTGAGCCACTCCACCCAGCCCATTTTTGTGATGGAGTTTTTAGCTAGGGTCTCACCAAACTATTTGCCCAGGCTATTCGAACCATGATCCTCCTGATCTCTGCCTCCTAAGTAGCTAGGATACAGGCATGAGCCACCAGCACCCAGCTCAAAGTCTGAAACTTTTCGAGTGCCGGTATGACACTATATGTAGAGAATTCCACATCTGACTTCATGTGAAAGGTTTCAGTAAAAACACATGCACTAAAAATATTGCATAGAATTGTGAATCCATGTTTAGACTTGAGTTTCATGGCCAGTATATCTCAGGATGCACATGCAAATATTGCAAAATCCACAAAAGGGCAAAACCTGAAATACTTCCTCTGGTTCCAGGTATTTTCAGATGAGGGAGGGTCACCTTCAAGTGACATAGTGTAGTTGTATATGTGTGCTGTGACCAAGGCATGACTGAGGTACTTTGTGGGCCCAAAGGAAGCATGGAAGTAGAGAAGGAGCACCACAAGGAAATTTCCTTAGAGAGGGCCATACGTTGGTTAAATTTTGAAGTTGATGGTTGGAGCAGAGGGGCAGAGGCAAGAAAGAACCTCTCATGTCTGCTGAACTGAAAGTTTTCTGGGGAGTTTGGAGAGGAGGTTACTTCAGCTGACAGGAGATAGAGATAAGGCAGAACACAAATTGTGGAGGGCCTTCATTGCCATGCTGCAGAACTTGGATTCATCCTAATGGCAGTAGGGATCCAGTTATTAGAGTAGTGAAGTAGGGAAGTGATTGATGGAAGTTTTTGAACTGGGTAGTGCTGTCTGCATCTTAGAAAATTCAACCCAGTGTAGCAGCATGGAAGGCTTGGTTGAAGAGTGCTGGAAATAAGATAGGAAAGTTGCATGAACACAGTGGGAAAAGACTAAGTTCTGGGGATGGAGAAGTGGGTGACTGGTGGTTTTAAGACTAGTGGCTGGATGATGGTGGAATGTTGGGCTTCTGTTAAGGTTGTTCTTTCTGATGTTGCCACATAAACTTTATACAAGACATTGTTCTACCAACAAAATTGTACTGTCCACAAAGTGCCAGGAAGTTACTTATAAACTGACTTTTTGGCCATTATCCAGTGATCCCCAAAAGGGACAGAGAGCTGATTGCACATGTAGGTCAGCCCACATACCACCCTGGTTGTAGTCCTAGTGGCTTGCTTAACATTTCAAAGCATGAAACCTTGATGAACTTTGAATTTTCTGCCTGATTAGTAATTCTACCTTGTGAAGAATGATGTGAAAGTATCATCTTCTAATTGAATAGTCCTTTTTTATGAAAGATCCAGTTCCCTTTTTAATGAAAGATCCATTTGGCTGGGAGAGCTTTTTCTTGAGAAATTTTTCAGAATCTCTCTCTATGTGAGAATTCAGACCATTTCCAACTCTCTACAGGAAGATGCTGAGGTGACCAAAGCTTTTGAAGAAGACATAGAAACCCACCAATAAGAAACATTCCTTCTCCCGGACAGCTGGACCCAGACACGCGGATCCCTGTTATAAATCTTGAAGATGGGACGAGGCTGGTGGGGAAGATGCTCCTAAAAACAAGGATTTAGTTGAGTGGCTGAAGTTGCATCCTACTTACACTGTTGACATGCCAAGTTATGTACCAGTAAGTATTACAGAGTTTGGAGTTGGCAGGAACCTTTCTGGGCCAGGACACTTCATTCCCATCTGACATGGAAACCTCTGACAGCTGGTCCCTCTGCCTTTTGTGTGAATGTCTCCTGGTCCTAAACATATCCCAGGCTTTTGTGTGTGTCTTCTGCATCAGAGAAATTAGCTGCAGGATTGTTGAAACCCTACTGTTACTTGAAGATGTCTGTTACTCATTTTTGTACTTCTTCTTTCCCCCACTAACAAATGAGATTTCTTCATCTGGTATAGTTTCCAGGTTGTCTCAGCATTGAGACAGTCTTAAATATACTTTCACTGGACTTGAGACAAGGCCAGAGCAGTCCAGAGTGCTATAAAGCTATTTTCTCTAGAGATTTGACCAGTTAATTTAGCCCAAGATTTTATTAACTACTTTGAAAGCTACTAACCCTTCTATCTTCTATTAAACTCCAGGCAGTTAATATCTCCAGATGATTGCTCACATAAACTGCTTGCTAGCTGGCAACACAAGTCTTCTACTTTCTGTATTTATGTAATTGATGTCTTTAAGCTTGAAAAACACAGAAAACCCTACATTTAAATTTAAAGACAGTTCAGTGTAGTTCAGCTGTTGGCTACTGAGAATACACTCCCTCCCCAAAGATCCTTTTTTCCTTTGCTTGGCTCTCTTCATGGACAAAAATCTCATCAGATAGAATATCACTTCTGTGTTCAGTCAAGTCACTGACTTGAAATTAGTAAAGTTACTGCAGAAAATTTCCTTTAAAAAAAAGAAATAACCATAATTAGGTTAAACATTTGAAGAAAACCTTTTTGTTTTGGGATTAGGTGTCGCTATGTAGCCTAAACTGCCTTCAAACTCTTTCTGCCTCCCGAGTGCTGGGAGTATACCTGGGTTTTTTTGTTTGTTTGTTTTGCTTTTGGTGGGACTGACTGCGATTTTCAATTTAGGGCTTTCATGCTTGCTGGGTAGGCCCTCTACTGCTTGAGCCATACTACCTCCAGCCCTTTTTAAGTGATTATTTTTGAGGCATGGTCTTACTTTTTGCCAGGAATGTCTAGTCTAGACCCACCTATTTTACACTGCCCTCCTTAGGTGGGACAGGCATGCAGCACTATGTCCCGGTTTTGCTTGAGATGGGGTCTTGCAAATTTTTGCCTCCCAAGTAGGTAGGATTACAGGGATGATCCACTGGCACCTAGTAGTGCACCTGGTTTTGGAGGAAACTTAAGTGTGGTACTTGACTAAGCAAACTGTCAGCTTACGTACGTGTTGGTTCCTTGGTGAACAGTGGGGATGAGGAGTTGTGTAGCTGTCAATGAAAAGTAGGGTTTCTGTCACATGAAAATGATTCTTGAACTCTCATAATTGAAAGCGACTTGACCATGCTTATTGGCATTTATATAAGAAGGGGTAAGTGCTAAATAGTTTTACTAAGTACATTTTTTTCCTTTGCAGAAGAATGCAGATGTGCTGTTTTCCTCGTTTCAGAAACCGAAACAGAAACGACATAGATGTCGAAATCCTAATAAATTGGATATAAACACTTTGACAGGAGAAGAAAGGGTGCCTGTTGTTAATAAACGAAATGGGAAGAAGGTAAGTGTTGCAAAAGGAATTGTTAGAGATTTCTTATCTCAAGAAGAGTGTTTTATCCTGTCATCACTGATAAGGAAGAAGATCCTTGTTTCTTCTAGAATATATGTGTGTGGATGGATGGATGGGAAGGAAAGATGGATAGGGAAGGAGGGAGAAGTCAGGGGAAGACTGAAAGACTGGGTTTTTAATCATTTGTTAAATGCCTCTTGACAGATGGGTGGGGCTATGGCGCCTCCAATGAAGGATCTACCCAGGTGGCTGGAAGAAAATCCTGAATTTGCAGTTGCTCCAGACTGGACTGATATAGTTAAGCAGTCTGTAAGTACAAGTGCCACATTTCTATCAAGAAAGGTATCCATCCAAAACTGTTTGCCTGAGTTTTCCATTGGCTATTAATCACTTTTAACTTAGTCTTAGCTTGAAAGAATTGACATAAATACATCATTTTCATACATCATTAATACATCATTTCTTCTATAAATACATCATTAATTTGAAGTGAATTAATTTGTCAGCTCTAATTTAAAAGGATTTTATAGAAATATATGCTCACAGTCTTGAAGGTGGACTTGCTCCAGGTAAACCTGTTTAACAACTCATCTGTGCAATGGAATTAGTGCTGGTTGACTGAGATCATTAAGATTATTAACTGATTCCTGATTTTAAAATAAACAAAAAATACAGCAATTCTGACTAAAATATTTTTTTCAGTATTGGTTCCTTTTTTAATTAGTCAGTGGCATGCTGGTTATTTTTGTTTGTCTAAATTATACAATAAAATTGACTCATTCCTTCTGGTGTGTAGTTCTGTCAGTAGTAACACATACAGTTTCATAAATTGTCACCATAATCAGAATAAAGTTCCATCACCCCACTACCTCCCCTCCTCCAGTTTCCTTGTATGTTCCTCTTCCACCATCTCTGTCCTCCACGACTGACCTTAGAGTTTTGCAAGGATGTAACCTTATGAGACAACTTCTTTCTCCCATGCTACTGAGATACATCCAAAGGGTTGTGTCACAATGGCTTGCTCCTTTCTATTGCTGAGAAGGCTCCCATGTGTGAATTTGCCACCTCCTATTAGTCCATCACCCTTGGGGTTGTTTCCAGATTTTTGAGATTATGAATAGAGCTGCTATAAATATTTGTGTAAAGATTTTGGTGTAAATGTAACTTTTCATTTCTCTATGGTACATACTAAAATAAAATTTAATTCATTAAATTTTTCATATCTCTCAACTACCTTTTTCTTATTCTTACATATATTTGAAGTATCTAAAAGAATACATTATAGAGTATGTAAGAGATCTTATATTTAAAAAATTCTTTCATTATGCTATTTAATATTTTTTTCTCCCATGTAGACTTTTGAGAATTGACAGTTGACAAATGAAAATTCTATTTAGCATATACAGCATGATGGTTTGGTATGTGTACATTATGTACTGATTATCACAGTCATAGCTGTTTTTGGTATGTTAGTTCTTGAGTTAGTTATGGATGCAGCTAGCTTGACATTCATCTCAGTGATGGAGTAGCCTTGGACAGTTTTTCTGCAATTTAGCAAACTAAATAATAATAAAAGCCAGAATTTTTGCTTTCACAAGTTTCAACATTAAGCTTTTAGAATGTCAGTAATTGCTTGTGTACGTCTATTTAGAATGTTAATTTCCCATCATCACAAAGGCCCACATTGAAATTAAGTTTTCTTCTGCAGCGTTTATAGCCATTGTCTTCTTTTCCCTATCCTCTAGGGTTTTGTTCCTGAGTCAATGTTTGACCGTCTTCTTACTGGACCTGTGGTTCGAGGAGAAGGAGCGAGCAGGAGAGGAAGAAGGCCCAAGAGTGAAATTGCCCGAGCAGCCGCAGCGGCTGCTGCTGTTGCCTCCACTTCAGGGATCAACCCTCTGTTGGTGAACAGCCTGTTTGCTGGGATGGACTTGACGAGCCTTCAGAATCTCCAGAACCTCCAGTCTCTCCAGCTGGCAGGTCTCATGGGCTTCCCTCCAGGACTGGCAACAGCTGCCACTGCCGGAGGCGATGCTAAGAACCCTGCTGCCGTGCTGCCCCTGATGCTGCCAGGAATGGCTGGCCTGCCCAATGTGTTTGGACTGGGTGGGCTGCTGAACAACCCTCTCTCAGCTGCTACTGGAAACACCACTACTGCTTCTAGTCAAGGAGAACCGGAAGACGGCACTTCAAAAGTTGAAGAGAAAGGAAATGAAAATGAAGATGAGAACAAAGACTCTGAGAAAAGCACAGATGCTGTTTCGGCTACTGACTCTGCAAATGGATCTGTTGGTGCTGCTACTGCCCCGGCTGGATTGCCCTCCAACCCATTAGCCTTCAACCCCTTCCTCTTGTCCACCATGGCCCCAGGCCTCTTCTACCCATCCATGTTTCTACCTCCAGGATTGGGGGGATTGACGCTGCCTGGGTTCCCAGCTTTGGCAGGACTCCAGAATGCTGTGGGCTCCAGTGAAGAAAAGGCTGCTGATAAGGCCGAGGGAGGCCCCTGTAAAGATGGAGAGAACCTCGAAGGCAGTGATGCTGAGGAGAGCCTGGACAAGACTGCAGAGTCCTCCATCTTAGAAGATGAAATAGCACAGGGTGAAGAGCTAGACTCACTTGATGGGGGGGATGAAATAGAAAATGATGAATAACCAGTACCAGTTCCAGTTAAAGTGTTTAAAACTTTTGACAAGTGGTAGTCCTACTGTTTACACTCACAGTTAATGTTCATACCTAGTTTTATAAGCTGTTCTGTAACATAGTGTAGCAAAAAGAAAAAGGAAAAAAAAAAGTCCAAGTCATGTTATACAGGTGTGTCAAAAGGTATCTTGGTCATTAAGTATTGTGCAGTGCATTATTTATTATCCCTAGGAGAGATGAAATTTGAGAAGTGATCATGTCTTTTTAAGGAAACCTACATAATGCTCTGCTTTTTTTCTTTTGGTACCATTGGTATTATAATAAAGAGCAATTTGTAACTGAGTGGCACTAATGGAAGGAAGTGCTGCTCAAAGGAAGAATGAAGTTATATATTTAAGTTTTTAACTTTAACTTTTAATTTTTTTGCTGTGAAGGTCAAGATGAAATTTACCATACATATCATACTTGCTCATTCATTTCCCTTTTGACTGTATGGGGGTTCCCACACTTGCGCATACACACACATCCATACACTCTGACAATCTCCACGTTAGTGTGAACGTCTCTGTCCTGAGGCGCAGCAATAATAAGGCAGCTGTTGAATGTGAAGGGTCCCTTTGGAAAATTAACCTACTGGGAGGGTTCTTGCCAGACAGAACTACAGTTCCATTGTCTCGTGGTCTTGTAATGCACTGGTATAAACAAAATAAATAGAAGATTAAAAAATAAAGAGAGAAGTGAGAATCAGGTACCTTTTTTAAATTAAAGGACTTTGTTACTTTAGCCACAAAGCTAAAACAGCATTACCTCAGCTCTAAACTAGCCTTGAAGTTTACAGACATGACTTTGTAAATGTATTGTTTTTCTTTGTTGTGATGTCCTTTTATTTTTTTCTTTGAAAACTGCTATCATGTAAGATAAAATGTAAATTGCTGCCAACTGTAGTAATGATGCTTTTAATAAAAGTGACCCATGATATGCAGAGATGTAATTATAGAATGTAGTATGTAGGGGAACTGGTGTTCACTCTATTTTTTGTATTCTCAATAGATGCAAATGTAGCATTCTGGCTTTTGTATAGTTTTCTGATACATCCTCATACTAGATTAGCTGTTAGTAGCACACTAAACTGTCCTCAAGACTAGACAGGACGAAAACCTGGAATCACCTTCACATAATTCCACGCCAGATATGTCAACAGAAATATTGTTGCACACAAAAACCTCCTATTACTCTCCCAAAGGGCAGATGAGGCTAAGAATACTTAAAAATGTGTGCAGCATGTGATAATGTGGTACATGGAAGAACAAAAGGGCAAAAGAAAAATGAGGCTTTAATAGGCACAATATCTAGGTCATTTATCCTTGGATAATGGGTAGAAAAGCACAATGCCATAGTGTCAGCAAGGGACAGAAAGGCACTTCGGTGTCCTGAAGACCAGGGCTTGATGCCAGACACCAAAGTGTGGAAAAACCCATGTGGAACTAAAATGGATCCACTTAAACACAGCGCGCACTTAGAGTCTCAAATTCCTGGTTTGTAGACCTTATGGCCTTTGATATTTGAAGTAAAATATAAATTTAAGATCTGTTGTTTTCACCTTTGTATGTCACCTGAACAGACACAAAACCATGTTTGTATCCTCCCTAAAAGAAAAGGAAATGTGGATAAAGTTGTTTTGTGTCCTTTACTTCCCCCGCATCCTCCTGAATGCACACACACAGGCCATCTCCCACCCAATGTGTGATAGGACAGGATGTCTAAATTCCTTTGAGACAATGAGATTCAGCTTATTGACATCCCCAGATGAAATATACCCATTACTATTGTGGAAAAGTACTACTGAGGACCCACCCTGCTGTAGATCCTGTTGATTGCATCTGGGCCCCATCATTGTTATTATCTCTTGAAAGTTAACTGGCAGTGTCATTAGAAGTGCCTTAGAGTGTCCCGTGAAATGGAATTCTTTGAACATGGAAAGTAAGACTAGATCTGCACAAAACAGGAAATTTGGATATTTAAGTAATGGAAAGACTTTAGTTAGGGAGAATTTAATGTTTAATACAATGCATTATAAAAGGGTCTTTTCCTAAAACTTTTATTTATTGGAAATTTTCCTGTAAGCTTTTGTAAATAAGAATACAAGATGATCTCTCTTAGTGTCAGCTATTAAAAGCCATGATGATCTTCAGAGCAAAGGCATTGATTGCGTGCAGTCAGTGGGAACTCACCTGATTTTATGCCCACTCAGCTTTATTTGTTGTTTACCTGTTGACAGTGGGAATGCATTTTTTTTCTTCCTATAGAATGAATTCTTAATACTAGATCAGATTTACCTAAGGAGGAAATTTCAGTTCTGTCTGATCCTAACCAGTGTCAAGTGGGTATGTAGTGTGAATGAAGCCGGTGCCAGTGCCAGTGCTATGGCTGCCATCACTGATTGGCTGCTGAGGGAAGTAAGTGCTGTTATTCCCCCAGGAGGCTGAGGTGTAGGCAGTGTGGGAGCATAGTTGGCACTCAGCAGCCTGACTTCAGAGCCTTCCCTTGCCTTCCTGAAGTACTACATTCTTAGGTCTCTGAAAGAAAAATCATTGCATAGGGATGATCTGAAGTGTTTTGTGTTTGTTTTTACATTTTCCCCCTCATCCTTCCCTAACTGGATCTTAACTTTGAGACTGGGAATTAAGAAACAGCCTACTGACTTAGAGCTGGGCATAACATGAGCTCTGCTTAAGTAAACTTGAGTCCCAGTTCATTTAAGTTTGAATTTGCCCCACAAGTGTTTTTATTGTATAAAGAAGTCAGTCACCAAGCTTGTGAATGGCAGACCTGGTATTTGAACCCAGAGTGGCTTGACTCCAAAGCCCACGCTCTTAACTACCAGGCTAGTGTGGTGTGGCACCATGCTGGAGTTTCAGACATGAAAACAGTCCAGTCCCCTGCTGTCGTGAAGCTTGCCTTCTAGTACGAAAAGACAGATGATGGATTACAAATAATCAAGGAAGACTACTAAATACAGATAGGCTGGTGAAGGTGGAGGTCTCTGAGGAGGGACAACTCAGTTCACAATAAGAGTGATGAAAAGCAGTGTGCAGACGAAAATCTGGCTGGAGAATGTTCCAGGCAAAGGGAAATGCAAATGTAAAGACCTATAATTGGGACTGCCTTGGAATAAGAAGTGCAGAGCTATCTGTCTAGAAGTGTTGGGAAGCAGGGCTGGATCACATAGGGCCTGGATGCCTTGTGGCGGTTTGGTTTCATTGTAAACACCAGAGAAGGTCCTTGGGAGGTTTCATGCAGGAAAGCACTATGATCATATATATGATTTTTTAAAAGACCAATATGGCAGTAATGCAAAAATAAGACTTGTAAAGAGGAGTCAGGGATCCATCTTGGGGACAACTAATATCCTTGGATGTAGGTCATGGGTGGTAAAGGAAATGCAAAAGCAGTGGACGGATGTGGGAAATAGTCAAGTGCTTACCTCTTCAGCACTACAACTACTGCTGCTGAACTATACCCAAAGACAAAACCCATAGGTAAAGAATTCTCACAGTGTGGTTGCTGTGTGTTTTAATACTATGAGAAATGTTAAAAAGATACTGGAACAGAAATTTTTAATTCATGTCCTGTTAAAACTTTTTCAGTTTCAATTCAATGAAAATTATTGGAGTTTTTTGTTGGTGATGGTTTTGGTGGGTTTTTTTTTTTTCATTTTTCTTTTATTATTCATATGTGCATACAAGGCTTGGTTCATTTCTCCCCCCTGCCCCCACCCCCTCCCTTACCACCCACCCCACCCCCTCCCTCTCCCCCCCCTCAATACCCAGCAGAAACTATTTTGCCCTTATTTCTAATTTTGTTGTAGAGAGAGTATAAGCAATAATAGGAAGGAACAAGGGTTTTTGCTGGTTGAGATAAGGATAGCTATACAGGGCATTGACTCACATTGATTTCCTGTGCGTGGGTGTTACCTTCTAGGTTAATTCTTTTTGATCTAACCTTTTCTCTAGTACCTGTTCCCCTTTTCCTATTGGCCTCAGTTGCTTTAAGGTATCTGCTTTAGTTTCTCTGCGTTAAGGGCAACAAATGCTAGCTAGTTTTTTAGGTGTCTTACCTATCCTCACCCCTTCCTTGTGTGCTCTCGCTTTTATCATGTGCTCATAGTCCAATCCCCTTGTTGTGTTTGCCCTTGATCTAATGTCCACATATGAGGGAGAACATACGATTTTTGGTCTTTTGGGCCAGGCTAACCTCACTCAGAATGATGTTCTCCAATTCCATCCATTTACCAGCGAATGATAACATTTCGTTCTTCTTCATGGCTGCATAAAATTCCATTGTGTATAGATACCACATTTTCTTAATCCATTCGTCAGTGTACTGGGATTTAAACTCAGCCTCATGCTTCTGCTGTGTCACTTGAGCCACATCCCAAGCCCTTTTTTGCTTTAGCTTTTATTTAGGGTGTCACATTTTTGGCTGGGACCTACCTCGGACTGTGACCCTCCTACCTGTGCTTCCCAGTAGCTAGGATTACAAACTCACACCAAGACACCCAGATTATTTATTGAAATAGGGTTTCACTAACTTTTTGCCCAGGCTGGCCTGGATGGGAGCCACCTCATGAGGAGCTGGAATTACAGGTATGAGTCACTGTGCCTGGTTTTAAACTGTCTTTGGAAGGAGTTTTTAGGAAGTAAGAATGTAGCAGCATCATGGTAAACGTTGACTTGCACACTAGATTTACTAGATTTCTAGTGTATAACAAATAGGAGCACCAATTCAAGATACTGTTTAGGAGTCACTTAGGTGCTTCCTCGTGTCCTTTCCCCATCTCTGCATTTTGATCTGAAAGCTCAATTTCAAGTGAGAGAAACCCAATTCTTTGCTGTGACAACAGCCAGATATTACAATGACTTCATGTGCTTTGCAACCCAAAACAATCATAGCTGTCAATCTCAGTCCTAGACACTTCACTTGGATGTAAGCTGGGTGACTGAAACCTAACCAAGCTGTACATTTGATAGTTTGGGGAGTGTACATGGCTTTTGAGATTGGAAAATTCCACCTGTTCAACGTGTTTCACCATGCTGCTTTGGGAGTCAGGAAGCTCAGCATTGTAGAATTCAGCATTTTTGTTTGTTAATAAGCACTTGTGGGCTAATCCATACCATACCCCAGTGAGTTAGGCTGGTGTGGTTGCCATCATCCCTTTATCTGGAGAGCCAAGGTCATTTGCCAAGGCCAAGTGGTAAGACAGGTGTAGTGGCCAGAACTGAATTTAGATTTCTCCAGTGGGATCAGCAGCTAACTACAGATCATCTGTCTTAAGTATAAACCTGCCATTGACATCAATTCAACTTGTGATCTTAAAATACCAAAACCTAAAACAGATCAAGCTACAAATCCTTTTAATAACCACCAATGGTAAGATCTGAAGAACACACCAGAAGCTTCCAGAATTTTATGCTACAAGACAAAAGTAACTAATGGAAGATGTTCAAGATGTGTGTGTGTGTGTATAGTTTAAGGAATTGAAAGCTTGCTTAACATCTGTGCTGTTCAATGATACAACCTAATCAATTACCAGTCTAAATATTTTTGCATATTATTAAAGCATGTTCTCTAGGATTTCTGCATAGTGAATATTACCTTCCATTCATAACTACCTCCCATTTGGCTCTAAAAGGCAGCCCCAACTTGGAAAAGTCTGGAACTTCTGGCTCCTGCAAGGCTGGAAAACAGCCCCCACCCACAGGGCTTTTCTGGGCTATTGCAGTTCTCACAATGGATATGCATATCTGGTAGTTGCAGAGCTAATGTTGTCTGCTGGCTCAGCGGGCCCTAGGAGCCACTCAATAGTCTTTTCCATCTTACTGTGAGTTCTGGAAAATGAGAGGCAGCCATTGTATCTGGCTGCAGAAGCATTGTTCTTTTCCAGAAGAAACTGCCTGTTTCTTAGCTCCCAGTTTCTGCTTCTTCAGACATGGCTAGCTTTTGAGGAGCAGCTGGACTGACTCAATAGCCAGGAGGGTTGCACAAAACCATTTAAACCTCTTTCTTTCCCCCTCGCTCTCTAAAATGTAAAGGTAGAAACAACTGTCCTATTTTGTACAGAACCTGGGTGT